TTGACCCATCAAGGTTGACCAGATGCTACCACCTGCTGATACACTGCCAAATAGCACATACATTTGCAACTTTACAAAAGTCAATGCAAACTAAAGACAGATTTATTTCCAGAAAGAATTCTGCCAGGACAGGAGACAAATCTGTCTGTCTGTCTGTCTATCATCTATTTATCTATATCAGCAGATGTTATGTTATATAACAGAATTTACTTGCATGCTGAGAGCTAACACATCACAGAGAAAGTTTTCCATGTATAAAGATATTCCAATGAAGGGATAAACCTATATTCTGTCTACAAGGCAACTGAACTACATAAGTCTGAGTAGGCTCTCGGGTATTTAATAGTACATTGATTTTAAGAATAGGCCTGGATTCTGAATGCTTTGTTCCTGCATTTTTTAATGTCCATTACCTGATGCACTGCTCTCTGGAGGAGCTGTTATTATCTGAAGTAACTCAAAATCAAAGCCACAGGGAACAAGGTAAGTCATATACAAAATAACCATTGCAACATCAGAAGAACATCATCTCTAGAACCCAGATGAAAAAGAGAAAAAAAATGACAAATTGGGGAAAAGAAGTCAAAAGTGGTTGCTGAAATAAGCTTTACTGGTTGCTCAATTGTTAAAGAAACGTATAATCATTATTATAAGTTTGTTTTTGGACTTTTATCCTTTCTGTTAAATTACTCAAGGTAACTTTAACAGTGGGATCATAATTATTTTTATTTTTAGTTGGAGTTATACCCAATTATCATAGGCTTTTAAAAAATTATTTACATAAATTACACTTAAGGCTAAAGTTGGTTCACTCAAAGTTTATTTTAAAGGCATACCTAAAAACACAATGTGTAGAAGAGGCATGTTTGCAAAAATATGTGTTATAAAAATTAGAACCATCACAGAGATTACCAGGACATAAATATAAAATAAACTGTAATAATGATTATTGCACCAGTATTCAAATCATGTTATTTCTTCTATTTATATGGCCATCTATCAGTTTAAATTCTCAATTAGATTCCTGTTTTTTTTTTCCTTTTCAAATTATTCTTCTATTTAGTATGAATGGAAAGGAAGAACACATATTCCCTACAACTGCATACAGTAAGTTCTTTTATAGGCTATATACCCTCAGTGGAGAAATCTCAAAATCACCTTCCACAGGGCTTATAATGGGCATGTTCTTCTGCTCACTTTTTATTGGAAGTTATGTTCAAGATAGTCAAGAGTTCACCAAGTTCAGAAAAACTGGCCTAACCTATACTATTGCATTTGAATATAAATCGGACACCTAAGAAGTGCACTGGGAATGCAACCACCCAAAATATTCCCTGCTCCTACTTTCAGATGGGAAAAGCCACCATTCCTCTTGGTGGCAGCAGCAAGGCAGCTGTGCATAATGACCAAGCATTCAAGTTCAATATATCAGGAGCCCAAAAGCAAGAGGGAAATCTTTGTATTCAGACATCTCGTTCATCCAACATTTATATAAACTAGAGTAAGACCAGAGAACAAGACCAAATCTCCTGTTAAGGGCTGACCACAACCACTATCAGATAACCAGTGAAGGTATTGATGCACTTTTTGGCAGTTAAGATGCCAGGCCCCATCATCCCTGAACACAAAGACAGGAATCAGAGATCAAAGAAGCAACGCACAGCTAATTTTAGACCAAGTCTTATATTCATTGAGAACATGCCCTGATAGGGACAGTGAAGTCTGAAGTTGGGTAGAGAGAAGCAGTGTAGCCCTAAGTATTTAATTACAATAAAAACCCTCTAGCCAGAAACATAGTTTTACCATGAAGAAGCTATATTAAGAGCTATAATACATGTAATGTTTAGGCAGATGTTGTTTTCCCCAGACATTTTATGTTATATCCTTACTTCCTACCACCACCACTCTGATTTTCCCAACTTGCAGCTGCAGAGGCTGACACTTGCAATGTAAGACCTGTGTGGGAGGAAAGGATCTTCTTTATCTTTCCTCCTGTAATAGGTTATGAGCAGCTGGCATGTGTATGTGAGTGTGGGTACGTGTGTATCACTCTGTCGCCTAACTTTTACTGCAAATAGCAGCAAAGAGAAAGGGAAAGGAATACAAATCAGCGTTCAGCATTATGAACAATTTAGCCCCCAGCCCCACCCTCATGTACAAGCATGACTTCAAAAATCCAGATGATCTCTAGAAGGCAGCAAAGGTATCTCTGTTGCCCTCTAGTGCTCAACTGGGTTTTTGCAGCCCAGAGAAGATGTGTGGATAGCAGTCAGTGTTGGAGTCAATCTAGAGAGTTCCAGCTTTAAATGCCAAATTGCCATGCTGAACTTCATAAAGGAGAATAACTAAGCTTGTGTTAAAATAAGAATAGTTCAAGAGTGCCTTCAATGGACTCGGTTTCAAAACAAAACAAAAATAGAACTAAATCAGCAAAGTACAGGTTCCTACAACAAGGTATCTGTAACAATCCATACAATGTACAGATTGTGAGATCAGAAAAAGGCAGAGATTGCAAGGGGTGAACTGAGAACCAATGCTGGTCAGCATGATCTTCTTTTGATTCAGTCAGAATTTAGTGAAATTTACAGCATAGTTAATGGTTATTTCAGCTTGATGCAAAATGGTGATGGAAAGGAAAATGCATCAAGGTCAAGAGAGTGCCAATAAATTATCCTGAGCTGCCAAAATAGAAATCACATCCCCCAGTTAATTTGGCATGAAATCCATTATATCAATGACCGTTAGGTTTTCACTTTGGTCATTTAAAAAAAAGACCAAAAAGGTGATTCCCTTTTTTGCCATTGTAAGCTAGGATATAGGGGGACGCGGTGGCGCAGCGGCTTAATGACGCTGAAAGTTGCCGGCCAGAAATGGTCGACGCTTCAG